TAGTCCTTTCCAGATGCTTTATGGAAGATGTCATAATGGCCCTTAGTCTATCTTGAAAACGTCATGGACTGTTGAAACTCCTGTTCCTCATGGACAGTTAAGCTCAGTTACCAATTATCTGAATGATTTGAAGATGAAATTGGAAAAAGCTGCTGAGTACGCAACTTACATATGTTGGAAAGCAACAAGCTTATGCATTTTACCATAACCGAAAGACTTGTCGTAAAGAATTCAAGGAAGGTGACAGCGTTATAATTTTAATCCCTGATAGTCAAAACAAAGTTTATGCCAGATGAATGAGACCTGCTACAATCATCAAAAAGCATACTGATTATAGTTACATAGTACAAATGCCTGACAATTCCTCGAAGCACGTTCATGCAAACAAGATACGAGAGTTGAATACCAATGTAAATAATGTCGGTGTGATATATGATACATATATTGTCTTTGGCGAAGTTGAAAACATTCCAAGAATTGTGCCACGGAAAGCAAAAAAACACTATTCTAATGAGGAATGTGATTTTACGCACCTTGAACAGCATAAGAGGAAAGAACTTCTTAAAATTTATTTTTTAAATTTTAAGAAGACATAAGAACCTAAGATCTATTATTCCGAAAATCGCCAATGTTGCAGAACATAACATGAAACTTAAGCCTGGAAGTATGCCAAAAAAGCAGAAATCGTTTCGGATACCTAAGTTCTAAAAAATGAAGTTGATTGACAAATAGATAAGTTATTACAGCTAAAGCTAACAGCTGAATCAGAAAGTAAATATGTGCATCCAGTAGTTTATGTGTCAACAAAATGGAATGGTAACATTATGTGTAGACTAAAAGCCTATGCTGAGTTTACTGATGACGTGATTTTGATATGATTATATTTTCCAGTGAGTGAAGAATGACTGACGTTATGAACTATGAACTATAAGACATTTAGTGTGAAATTTTTTTTTATTTAAATGCTAAGCTTTGGGTTTTTCTTTTCCTAATGTTATGTAATATGTTTAAAGATTTAGCCAGGATTTGCTAAGTATTATGTTTAATTTTAAATGATTGATTTGTATTGTCTTGTTTTTATGATTATGTGAAAGATTTAAGTTCGAAAATTTCATGAATGTAATTTTGTTTTGTTTCAAAAAATGTTTATATGTGGATTCGACAGGTCATTGAAGGACACAATAAAATCTTTTAGAGGGGAGGTGTCATGACGTGATAACCACGCATGCGTAGTTTTAGCCTAACGGCCTGCACAGCCTCTCTCTCTCTCTCTCATATGACTCACTAGAGAAGAGTAGCGAAGTAACGAAGGTAACCCACTGTATGCCAGCGTGATGATAAACGTGGTTCTATTTTTATGTTAATCGTTTGTTCTTATTTTGTTCGTGTGTTAATAACGTTTTTGTGCCGTTAAAATGGCTGGTTTATGTAATGCCCACATTTAGTGCACGTTAAGGAAACACATATCCAGCCCAAGAAACATAATATGACGGAAATTATTTCATTTTGCGAGAAATTGCCCCAAACATCTAGAAAAGGAGGAACATTTGTCTCTAAAAAAGGTAGCTGGGTTAAAGATTAAAGATTGGATCGAATAATGCAGCTAGAAATCAGTTAGAATTTATTGAACTGTTGATTGATGGTAAGAAAATAAAATGTTTAATAGATTCTGGACGTGAATCGATAGTTGTAAAGTAATCTCTTTTTCCAAATAAAATTATCAAATGGATTGTAGAGAACCTCAAAAGTTCGTTTGGTCACATGGTTAAAGCTGAAAATGGTGAAGTTTGTTTTTTCTTTATGTGAAAGCGAAGAAACAAAAAGAGATAGAAAGCAGCATGGTCTTATGACCTAATAACAGGAATGTGTTATGCTGCCTTCATGTCTAGCTAACATCTGGTCTGATGGAGTGATGATTACGCAATATGAAAATGATTCCATCTCTTCGGAAAGGAATTTTTTGTCTTTTATTTCTGCAGCCATTGAGGGAGACAGCGAAAGAGATTTATTGAAAGAGATTTATCGCACATTAAGGATAAAGAATTACACAATACTGTTTCAACTCTTATTAATGAGTATAAACCCTTAGAAAAGCTGCGCAGTACAGACTTAAAAATGAAAATAATATTAAAGGATGAAATTCCAGTTTCTCAGCGTTCGAGGAGAATTCCTTTTGCTGACCAAAAAATTGTTGATGATCAAATAGATGAATGGTTAAAGGATGGGATTATAAAGCCATCATGTTCAGAATATGCTTTGCCAATTGTTTTGTGTAGAAAAAAATAGGCAAGACACAAATTTGTGTTGACTTCAGGCAATTCAATAAAAAAATAGTTAAGGATTCTTTACCCATGGCACAAGTAGAAGAGGTTTTAGATCGTTTGGATGAAGCACTAAATATTTGGCATTTATTACACATGCAGGTTTGTACGAATTTCTAAAAGCACCTTTTGGTTTGTGCACGTCCCCTAGTGTGTTCCAAAGATTTAGTTATAATGTGTTTAGAGATTTAATTCGGGATGATACTGTTTTTACTTACATGGACGATTTTATTATTCCAGCACGAAACAAGAAAGAAGGTTTAGAAAAGTTAAAACGCATTTTAGAAGTAGCCAAAGAATACGGTTTGGAGATCAATTTTAAGAATGCCAGTTTTTAAAAAGAAAAATAGAATTTCTCGGGTATGTTATTAAGGATGGTACAATTCACCCCTCTACTGAAAAAAACCAGGGCTGTTCAAAATTTCCCGGAACCCAAAAACCTTAAGCATATTCAGTTTCTTGGGTCTTAACTGGGTATTTTAGGAAATTTATTGCCAACTATTCAAAAATAGTGAAACCACTAAGTGATCTTCTTCGTAACAGAGCAGAATTTAAATTTGGACCTGAGCAAAATGATGCATTTAATAAATTGAAAGAACTTTTATTGACAAGTCCGGTTCTTCATATTTTTAAACAAGGAGCATCATTAGAATTGCATACAGATGCAAGCAGTCATGATTTCGGCACTGTATTGCTACAAAAGTCAGATGATGGACAGTTACACTCCATTTACTTCATGAGTGAAAAAACTAGCCTCCAACAAGAGAAGCTATCCAGTTATGAGCTTGATCTTTATGCTATAGTAGAAGCTCTAAAGAAATTCAGGAATTACCTTTTAGGATTTTAGGTCAGAATAGAATAATTACGGATTGTGACGCTTTCCATATGTTTAAGAAGGATTTAACTCCTAAAGTGGCGAGATAGGTGTTACTTCTAGAAGAATTTGACTATGAAATTGTTCACAAATCTGGGCAGCAAATGAAGCATGTGGATTCATTAAGTGAAATGCCGTCATGATGGTTACTTGTTCTCAGGGAGAAGTTAACTTGTTTTCAGGGAGAAGTTACGGCAAAAATTGCAGCTGCGCAAAGAAGTGATGAGCGTCTCCAGTTGCTAAAATCCTTAGTCGAGCAAGGACTAAAGAAAGATTTTCTAGTGAAGAATGATATACTATACAAGTTTGACAATGGTCGTGAGCTACTTGTGGTACCCAAAGCATTAGAGCTAGAAATCATACGTAGTATCCATAACAAGGGACACTTGTGACACTTGTCAGCCACAAATTTGTGATATTCATTTGCACCACCTCTGTTCATTTGCACCCACTGCGAAATGTAACTGGAATGCCAGTGGAGCTGTTCTTTCAAACTTCTGCTGGAATGACAAGTGCAAGTTTGGCACTTGTCACAACAAGATCTACAACAAGTTTCATGATCAACAGACTTTTATCAACAAATATGATGTTTTACTTAAGTATTTATGTTTGGAATCCCCTTTCTTCCTTCAAAATCTCGCATAATTTATATGTAGGGTTTAATATTCAAATTGGTAACACATAAAATGACTCATTTTACAATTTTAGACTGAAATTTTTTTCTTCTATTCTTTCATGGCTTTTCTACCATGAACTGCAATTTTTATAGGCTCAATTATTCAGAATTTTTGCATATCCAGAATCTGGTATTTCCCGAGTTTTCCAGATAGCTGTGTTTCTACTGTATATCGTGTTGACCAATCCACGATGCTAAAAATGTAATTTTTGATGCAAACTATAATAACTGGGAACAATATTTGTTTACATTAATTAGTTATTAGTCTTACCAATTTTAAAAAGGATACTAGCAATGCATTATAGATCAGTCACCAATGTCTCAGCACTGGTAGAGGCTTCATCAAAAACTAGACCTTGAAGAGACTGATAACGATTAGAGTATAAAATTTATTTTTTGTTGCATGTTTCTTTCTGAACCAAAAAAAAATATATATATATATATTTCTGTTCTAGGAAGACACAGAAGTGCAAACTTGCAGAAGAGACAACTTTTTTAATGAATTCACTTATCGACTATCTCAATTTTTCAATTGCTTGCAACAGATGGAAAATTGGCAATACTGTAAACCTTATTTTTCTGCCATGTATCTTACAATATGATGAAAGATTAGCCTTAAGCCACTGATGGCAAAAAATTTAGTTTGAATGATTTAATTTTTTTCTTTAAAATTGTAATACACATTGTGGTACTCAAAATTTTCTACTGAAGACAAATGTACAAGGTTCCAACCACAAAAGCTCTTTATAAATACTGAAAGTGCAGTGATATTATAATGCAGTGAACTAAAGGTTAATTATTCATATAAATTTCAAATTAAACTTGGAAGAAAAAAACACCAATGCAAAATTTAAAATTAGATAAAAAAAGCAACCTTAGTTTGGCATAGATTTTAAATAAAACTCTTTTAATTTTGAAGATAATCTCACAAAGCCTCTTCCTTTTCTCTGTCAGTCCTCACATTTTTACATGAATCTAAGCTCCTGAAGAAAGAGGACTTTATGTCTGATTGCCTTCAAAATCTACAGAATTGTATTATAAATCTATATCAAACTAAGGCTGTTTTTTTAGGGGGGCCTATGTTTAAATTTCAAATGCTAATTCTGCATATAAAAAATATAGTTTCTACCTGAGCCAATGCCTTTTAGTAAGAGGAGTATGACAACATATAGTATCATATTGATCTGCAATCCATACTATGAGAATTATATAAAAAGCAGTTGTTGAATCATTGAAGAACTCGGACATTATAGCTTCCATTCCTAAAAAATAAATTCAAAAGCAATATCATTAGCCAATGAAATATTTATCAATAAAGTATGCTAGAATTTAAAACTGGAAAAAAAATGCAATTAGAACATATTATTAAATGCAAAACATCTGTAAGTTAATACTTTTGAAGATTGAATGCAACAGTTTTTTTCAGCTATACAGAGATCTAACATAAGGATTAACAGTGAAAACCACATTTTGAGAAAAATTTATTGCTATTATCATTAGTAAGAACAGTAATGCTAAAGACATATAAGCTAGATTGTTTGCAAAGCATATCACAGAACTTTACAGATTATGCATAATCATTTCTTTTACTATCCAATACAACATATTCAATTTCTTATGATCCACATCAAATATTGTAACAGCATGAGGTTTCACTTTCTTGTGACATAATTTTACTATTATGTCACAACATAGACAAAGAAAATTATGCATTGATCACAATTATAATTGTCACATTATCACTTTCCTTTTTTTCCCTGTGGGAATGGAAGAATGTAGAAATGTAAGGACTGTTATAAGAAATATGGCCATTCCATTAAAGCTAGGTAGCTAGATAGCAGAAAATTTCATACAAAACCAGTTCATGAAACTGTCACAGCCTCACCTCAGAGCAGAAACAATTCAGACACTAAAATCAATTTTTTAGAGTTGAAGAAAAGTACATTATTACTTGTTTTCCTATTTTGCATGGAATGAAACACATCAAAATTCCTCAGTAATTGACATGAGGTAATGAAATCATGAACATAAATGAGATATTTTACACATATTTCTATGTTTATTTCTTTCTTAAAAGGGTAACTACTGTTTATAGTGTAGAAGTTAAAATATGAAAAATAAACATTATGTCATTATCACTGCACAACACTTATTTTCTCCATCTCATTAGCTAACTATAGATCAAGTCTGCCATTACTTGTATGCCTCTCAAGAAGCAAAACACAACAACTGGAAATAAAGGAAAAAAAGCAATTAAAGGACTCTATCATCTGCTGCAAATGTCATTACCATCGTTATGACACAAGGCATGAGAGTTACAATTACTCTGAAGTACCTATTCTAAAGTAAAAAATTATACTTATATCAACATATTATTTAAAATGTCTGTGCATATTATTAGCATTACATTAAAAACATAATCATATATTCCTGACTGAATTGAAAATGATTAAAAAGTATATTGTAAAGAAATTGAGATATTAAAAAAGTAGCTGAAGACCCACAGGCTCTACATATATTATAACATAATTTGCTTGTTATATACATAGTTCACATATTCAGCATCAGTGGCTGACATTTCCATTTAGTGACTTAAAATGAATAAAAATAATAGCTTTTAGTCCCTTTCTCAAATCCTAATTTGTTTCTTAATTTGATGCAAACTGCAATAAATTTTAAAATATTACTCTAGAATCAGCAGATATTGCCCTAAACAGAGATGTTTCACTGACACTTGGTTCTTTTATGCACTCTTTTCATACAGCTAATGGACTCCAATATAGTCTACACAAGTTCTTTGCTCATCTAACTTTTCATCCAAAAGTGAAATTAAAAGAATAAAAAAATTATGATAGAAATATAAAACATGACCAACAAAAAAACTAATGTCCATACACATTCCTTATAAAAATTCTGAGGCCTTTTCCTTTTCAATTGCTAATTAACAACCAAAAAATATGCTAATATTGAACATCCAACATCTTAATGACAATCAGCAATTATCAACACTTTGGTCAGCATACATTAACACAACAGTCAGCACTGTACTATGTGCATTTTTAATGCACAGAAGTTATGGAGAGTACTGGTGCAACAATTTACAACTAAAGTTTTAATAATATAATCAGTAGTAGTGGCCCATACATTACTAAAATTTCTAATAAATTACCACAGCACAAAGAGCAATGGATTAAACCTGGAAGGCAAACAGTAATAATACATTCATCTAAATTGATTTTAATTAATGCAATACTGAGAAATAGTTATTGCAATATTGAGAAATAGTTATGTTGAAATAATACACTGAAATCATAACTAAATATGGAAATAAAGTGTTTTCTTTTTATTAGCAACATACAAGTAAAATCTACTACTGCTTTTTTAAATACTTTGCATCATTACATGAGCATCAGGTATCAAGATTAATATAAGATGACAAAATGCTTTATGTGTTGTTATCTACAGAAACATAAATATCATGGTATGTAATGCATATAAATCAATACTACCTCGTATCAACTTTTACTTACCAACTAATGCTAAAACAACAGTTAGCAAAGGAGCAGCTGGAAAACTAACACTTGTATTAAATTCAAATACATGCAGCAGTTCAACTATGTAAGACAAAATTCAAAAATTAAAATTTATGAGAAGGTGCCTTTAAACATAAATCTAAAACAAGAGACAAATACACAATAACAGATTACTTAAATTTTTATAATACCAAAAAATAAAAAAATAACTTTAGAAATAAATAAACATATTATGTTTTATTTTAATTTAAAAAATCAATTTCATGTTTGTTTAGCAAATGTAAATAAAAAGATGCACATATATGAGGAAAATATTAAAATTTCACTATGCTGCTACTTTTAAATTAATACCAGATCCATAAAATAAGAAAAAATATTTCCAATAATGTTATGTTACACAAAATGTTATTCAAACAGGTAATGGCATATAAAAAAAAACTCACACAAATAAATAAATAAATAAAATCTAAAGTTTTCAGATTTTAAATTAAGTCCAAAGAGGCTCTTTTTAACATTTTCAGTCTTACCTTTACTTAATAAATATCTCTTCTTTGCACTTAAACCATAAAATTCAGTTCAAGAGCAATATCACCAAATAATTTTAAAATGAGCGTATCTTTAGAATTTCCGATACACTGTCTCACGCGCTGGAGATTAAAATGTTTTTTTCTGTACAACGTTGCCATTGCTTGCTTTGAAATCCTTGCGTTTGTTAATGAAAAATTCATTAAAGTTTTAAAAAATATTAAATCAATAGTAAAACAAATTCTAAATTTCAAATTTGGGCTTCCAGATGCCCATATTCGGGTGGAAACATTCAATACTCAAAATTTGATGGCTCTAGGTACCGCTGTTTTATCACAATAACATACATACATTTATGTAGATTCTTCAATATTTCATTTCATTAAATATAATACAGGGTGATAATATTTGCTGGCAACAATTTGAAAAGTGAAACAATGCTTGTAGTGAATCAATGCAAAATGCCAAAACGAAATTAATAATCCTTCTGGGCAAATTTTGGACTAATAATAATAATTACTCAAATAAATTCTGGTAACTAATATTTTAAACAAATTTAAAAAACCTTAAACCAAGTTATTTGTCTGATAAAAAAGTTTTGCATTTAAAAATGAATCCAAAAGATATAAAAATAATATAAAGAACACACATAATGAAATTAAAAAGAGAAACTTACTTATGAACATGAAAATCTGGTGATGCGAGTACCTTAACAACATTGAAATGGATAAAGTCTAAAAAAATTAATAATTTTTAATTAAAATGTATTAAAAATATTAACAAAAATTTTATAAAAAATGTATTAAAAATATACAACAAATACATCTCACAGTATGTTTAAAAAATTACTTTTGTAATTTACTGTAATATTTTCACACACCAGATGAGAAATTTCTTAATTAAACACAGTTATAAACTTATAGAAAACATTTAAACTTTAAATGTCACATAAAACGTTCAAATAATTATTAATATTTTACTGCCCTCTTAATTTACAAATTCAGAATCAAAAGGTATTATTACCTTATTATAGTAGCACATTTTTCATGAAATTAATTTTATTTATTTATTTGGAGGTGATACAATACAAAATTACCTAAAATAGTCATTTTTTTAAACTTATTTTTGTCTTTCTTCAAATGTATCAACTAGGCAAAAATGTTTTAACACACTATTTACCTTATAAGACTATGGTAGTATAAATAATTTATAAGATGTTAATTTTATTCATATAAAATTGCATATTAGCTTATCAGATACTACATACTACTTTTACAAAATATAAAAGTTCTTATGTGTGTGGTAAATTTTAAAGCATGGTATGAAAATCGTAATGTTGCAATCCTCTTAATAATAAAGTTTTCCTAGAAAAGTCTTTTGTTTGCTTTTGGGGGAAAGAGATGCATATACTTTTTTATTTTCTTTTAGGATATTCTATATTCTCTGAAGGTGGGATAGTTTCCAAAAAGGGGTTAAATGACACTGCTTCATGAGAAAGAAGATCTCATTTTCCAAAAATGTCAAATGATATTTTCCTTTACTACTTCTGGCTACTAGGTAATTAGAAAGATACTAATAGACAGTATCTACACTACACATAGTTTAGTTGTGATTTTCAATCAATTTGGCTTTGTTTTCATTTGCTTTCTTCAGGTGCTAAATCCCCACTTGACTGATCAAATTAAATCTGTTCGAAAACTCAAATAAACATCACATAATTTTAGTAATTAATTGCTCAGCATAATAATTATGTCTTTCTTTTTTTATTATAACAGTATCATCAATGTCATTACAACTTGAGAGAGCATTAATAGTGTAACTAAAGTTCCCTCTCCAGTACATACACGATTATATATAACCAGGACTGGCTTTGCATAATATGTAAATTTTGAACTGCTGCTAGGATAAATATTCTTTACAGAATGCAAAATTTTCATCAACAATGAAATTTTTCTCGGGAATATACTTTGATGTAGTAGATCATTTTAATCTATATAAATAGGGAAAATTTCACAAAGTTTCAAATTTAGATGATACTAGCAGAAGTACCAAATGCTAGTTGGTATCCGACTACGTTCTAATCGTGAATTTTGAAGAAATTTTTCAAAAAAAAAATTTATTGCTTTAACTTAAAGCTTATATTTTTAGCTTCCAAAACTATTTTTGTTTTGTCTTTCCGGTAATTAGAAGTAGAGTTATGGCTGTTTAAATGGCCAGAAGTTGATATTTAAGGGACACAGACTGCTCTAAACAAGAATATTTCATTTGAATACTGTTGGCAATATTCAAAAGATGATTTTGAAATATATGTATTATTATTATGTGCTTGGAAGCAAGATTACTTTCGAAATTTCAGTATCAAATTTGGCAACATTTCTGTTTGTCTTTACTTCTGATTTGACTACACTCTGATTTAGCGTGCTTGCTGTTATTCAGTATTATTTTTTATCTCATTCTGCTTTGTTATTTTAACATTGTGATAAAAATATTTTCACTTTATTATTGTCAACGTTGTAATAGATCTGTGTGAAACTTTTCGTTCTAAAAAACAGCGATTTGCTGGAAACAGATATACTGTGAAAGCTTCTGCCGTGAATCGAAACTAGGAAACAATAAAACATTTTCTGAAAATTATAATGAAGCTAATAATGCTGCTGGTTATGAAGCTGGTATTAGAATATTCGATGTTGAAATTCTAAAATTTGTATTTTCTGCATTATCCTGTCCAATGTGTTTCGAAACTCAGAACAATAAGAGTTTTAATAACGTATCATACCAAAACAAGTGTTTGTTGAGTTGACAACATTGTGTCTTAGTTCGTATATAGGAGTAATACAGTTTAATACAGTCAAAAGTCGTTAATTCGGACACCCATAATACGGAATGATCTATAATCCAGACCTCAAAGCTACAAACTTTCTGCGCATGCGTCAGCGCGCAAGACATTTACGGCTGCGAATATGCATGTGCACATGCGCAAAATACGTTTACGAATGGCCGTTTAAAGCTAAAATTATCTAATTCAGTTAATGTTGCAGATTGCGTTGTTCCTTAATCTTCGAATTGGATTCGGCTTATTATTTTTTGCAGACTGTTAGAGCAATTTTATAAAAAAGTAAGCTTGAACTTTCGATTATGTCAAATAGAATTTCTGATATATTTACTAATATGGTAAAGGATCTACAAAGCGAAAGTATGTTTCGAAGTCCATTAAACAAAAAGTGGAATTGCTGCAAAAGATGGATAAAGGCATATCCTTTGTTTATCTAACCATTCCGAAATCTGTTTATCAATTTCACGCTGCTCTGAGGGGTGGGAACGACGCGGCACGCAATGAATTGGAAGTTGATCTGTCAGCACTACCCTTATCTTCAGGGCAGATGTTTTTATTTTATTTGGCTTATAATTCCTTACTAAATGTAGTATTTCATCTCGATGTACTTCATCTTTTGCATGATTTAAATCAAATTCCTAGTCATTATAATTCCCTTCCGATAGCGAAGAAAGTGACACAGAGGTTGAAAACGAAAAAATTTCGATTGACAAATTAGTCGGTATTCTCAACACAGCAATTATAGGACTTGAACAGCGGAACTTTGTAACTGAACAAGAAATTATGTCTATTTATAGAATTAAAGAGAAAGTATTATCACATAAAAAACAAAGCAACCTAAACAACTTACATTGAAAGAAATGTTTAATAAAGTAAACAAATAAATATTAAGCTTTTTTTTTTGTAAATTTTGATAAACTTTAGATTATAATTGTTCTTTATTTCATAAATTACGGTTTCATATTTTTAATTTTATAATTTCTGCATGCCATCTTACCCGATTTAAACTGATGATCTATAATCCGGAAAAATCGATAATCCGGAATCGCCGAAGTCACGACGAGTCCGGATTAACGACTTTTGACTGTAATGGATTTTTGGGTATATTAAAAATATTGGCAAAACTTAATATGAAACATGGACAATATACTGTCAAGGGATATAACTGTATTGATAAAACTCGGATTGTCGATTCAAACTGGCACTCTTTACATTCCGTAAAATTCACAAGAAAAAAAAATTAAGAGCTTCTTTAAAGAAAAAATCTTCTAAAATATAGTAAACAGAAGGTATAATATACAAAACAGGGCAGTTTTAGCAATGTAATATATCAATTTCTAATGTATTTTCTAAAGATAAAACTTTAAATTTGTTTTTTTAAAAACTTCTTTTTGTCAACATTTCTAATACGAAAAACACCGTAACTTAAAATATTACTACAGCAATTTTATGATACTTCCCACAAATATTCTATAGAATATTGGGAATTAAATGGGCTAAAAGTTTAGGTTTATATACATATTTAAGATTTTTGCAGACAATTTTGTAAATGAAGAGAGAAAAATTTCTCGAAAAATAGCTAGTGTATGTACTCAAACAGGTACATTTAATAGACATTTTGCTTTATGACTTAGATTTTAGTCTATTTTATTCCTTATGCTTTAATAAATATAAGTGAAAAAAATAAAGGTAAAATATTGATAAATAATTTTGAGGGAACTAATCTCGTGATACTGAAATTTGAATACATTTTTTATCCAAAATGTGAGAAAAAAGTAAAAATTTGAATAATATGCTTATAAACTGTTTCTATCATTTTAAGTAGCATTCTGCTAATTAACACCAAAAATTAATTTATTTGTACACTTTTTCAAAATTAGGGTATCGAACGTAGTCGGATACCTTGTTAGATTGACAGTAATGCATCTAACAACAGAGAGAACGATACCGCTGTAATCCTTCTCTATTTAGATTTTATTAGAATTCTGAAATTATATGTTTAAAATATCTATCACATTTATTAGTATTTTATTAGAATTTTGAAAGCATTCAGAAAAATGTGGCTTGGAACTAATGTGATTAACTTAGGTTTCAAGGAAATACAATTCACTGATTAAAAAAAGCTGATGTGGACACCACATGACTTCAATATACAGCCTATTAAATTATAGACATTTTTTGTTGTACTTCATTTAAGTTTATTTCCCTGAATTTCCATGATATATTTCTTACTCAATCAATTCAGTTCTCCCTTCATGATAAGGCAAAAGTAAATAAAAACTAAAAATATATTCATTATAAACTGTAAAATGCAGAAAAACCTAAAAATACTACAGTTAAAAAGAGTAAAAAAAAAAAAAAAGTTCTTGCAAGTAAAATCAAACAATTCAGCCAACTGACAGGAAGACAAAATTCTCAGTGCAAAACACTGAAAGTTAACTTTTAATCCCACTGGGCAAAAAGACACTGAAGTTGAAGCATCGGTGACTCAATTCACTGCTCTACTAAAAGAGTTTCTAATGTAAAGAAATGGCCTCACTAGGAAATTATTAGCCAACATACCTGCCACATACATATCCTGCAAAACTTATCTGAAATATTTGAATGAGCTGCATATTGCCAGCCCCAACTAACAACACTGCAGCAGTTCTGATCAACCCTTTTTAAGGAAGTGGCATTTAATTGATAACAGAACAGAATGAAGAACTCATATTTTAAATGGAAATTGCAAGAATTATTTATCAGTTTGACTTTATTATACATACACTTAAAAAAAAAAAAAAAAATAAAGACTATCTGTATTTTGCATATTTTTGTAATGTTTGGTTTTTTCAATTAGGATTTAAAATTCAGAATCTTTTGCCCATATATGATTCTGTTTTACTTTGAAATAGCTCTATCTAATTTGTAGTAAAATCCTGAAAGTCTTTTATTAATTTAGAGAAAAAAATTTTGAAGCACTTTCAGAACATGGAAACATTATTCGATTTTATAAATGTAACTGACTCATTAAAGTGTTCAGGTCTAGTCTTTCCACTAAAGATATACAGATTTGAGGCCTTTTCAGTTTTTAACTAGAATTTCTACCAATTTTAGATTAAAGCTTACTTTCAAAAATCTTTATAACACCTTGCCTTCATTTCTGCTTCAAAATTCCTTTTTTTAGGGGGGGGAATGTTTATTAATTTATTTTAATTTTCATTATACTTTTTTATGTATTTTAATGATTGCAAAATTTCCCTTGGTGTTAGAGAGTAGTAGATTTATTTATGTACTTCCATTTATATATGCACATACAAACACAAACAACTCCATATATACTACAGCGAGTTGTGGGTTCTTTAAATATTCACTCTAGATAAGCAATAAATAAATGATAATTTACAAGGTTTGTACACACTTTTGCACATGGAAATTAAATACTTTTAAAGAATTTTAAGAACCATCAATGGAAACATTAAGGACCCATTAAGCAAATAAGAACTCAATAAACTAAAGCAATTATCTACACCTGAACTTGCATAGTTAGATACTTTCAGTCATAATAATCATAATAGCCTTTAGTTATAACATGATTACAGTTCTTTTCTTACTTCTAAAAAATGTCCATTAAAAAAGCTCTAAAAACATTTTATAGCAGTTATAATTTATGATAATACTTCTAAAATTATATTAGTATAACTATACATTAAAAGCTACAAAAAATGTATGTTTTGTAGCAAAAATAAACAACAAAATGGTTATGTGTATTTTTTAAACTTGAAAATTTTCCGGACCTTTTAGCTAATTTACATTGATTTCCTTCTCTTAAGCATCTTTTCTGTTTCAATAAACAAATCAATCTTTCCACTAGTCTCCATATCACCTCCTAATTTATTAATATTTCAACAATGTATCTTTGAAGAATAATTTTCTCTCTCTTTAGGAAACCAATTTCTTTTTCAATGAACTTCCTCTTCATTTGAGAATTTTCAGATTTAATTAAAGATTTTTCTTACTTTAAAGAACTGCTTGTACTTAAATTTTAAAGAAGAAACTGCTAACCTTATTTCTTTAATAATATGAGTATTGAAAATAAATATGAAATGATATAAGATCAGAATCGGTGCAGTAGCCAGAGCAGCAGAATTTTTAGAATTTAATGAAGCATCCAGCAACAAAATTTAGGGCAAAATTTTTAGAGTTTAGGGCAGGCACTGATATATGTATGATGCACTGAGACATATATAATGAACCTTTTAATAAATTGTTGGTTTCATTTTCTTTGCTTTCTTTAATTCTTTTGATGTTTGTGTTTAGGAAAAAGATAAGAAAATAAAGGGAAGATAAACATATTAAGATTTCTGGGATCAAAAGGGGAAAATTTTTCATCATTATTCCAAAAGATGAGTAATTCATCACAAATGTCCTATAAAACACATCTATTACATGTTAATAACCATGAACACACTTTTCACTTCATCACATTTTTCTGGAAATTGCAGATCTATAAATCTTGCCTGTAAAAAGCACAAAGACTAATAAGCAGTATATTCAGACTCTTCAAAAACTTTTGCTGACATGAGTAATATATCGTACACTATTAATGAGATTTTTGTATTGTGCTTTTAGCTGTTAGTCAACTTTCAGGAAACCAACTAAAGCCAATCAATTGAAGTATGATTCTGAAAGGAAGAAAGGATTATTTCATGTTTTATCTTCAATGAAACATTCTGAAGGAGCATAGCCCTTATGTGCTTAAGTGCCTATAAAGAATAAAATAATGCATATCTGAACTTTTCCAAAGACAATTCAAGAAATGGATTTAGTGACATCACAAATTTGAAATTCACTACTTGTAAAAAGGCCATGTTGAATAATACTTTTATACAAAGAACCACTCCAATAGCAAATACAGTTTGGATGATTTGTAGTAATTAATAATAAAAAATAAAAAATAAAAACTTGGACTGTCTTTCACATTATTTTTTACACAAACTTCACTGTACAGCTCTGCAACTTGTAAACCAGAAAATATATTTTTTAAAGTTTTGAGAAAGTTTCATTACATCTTTCTCTGTTCATCACAAGTAATGCTGGTTTTTGTAATTTAATATATAATTATGCACACCAGAGTGTAAGATACCTATTGTCAATCAATGAACAAGCTGATTGTATGGGATTTGCAGTTTCTACATTTTACAACAAATATGAATATGAATTAACACTAAAAAATTCTTTTATAAAAATTTTCCTCTTCAGGTCAACAACTTTGCTATGTTACCTACTGCACATGTATCCTCTAAATCTACCACATGTATCCTCTAAATTCATAGCTTCTTTAAATGGTTATTCATTTATATCATTTTGTAATTTTTTTATTTTGTGTTCCATTAGTAGAAAAGTCAATATTTAAAAATAACTTAATGTAAAGAATTTGATATTCAAAACAACAAGGAAAATATTCAAATACACAAATCATATAACATTTAGTTAATCTCATCTATTGCATAACAGTAAACTAATATTACACATGATTTAATAATTGCAACATATTACATGAATAAGTACTAAAAGGAACTTACGAAGACCATCATTATAAAAGCTGCTGAAAAATATGCTGTCCAAGTGGTACTCTTATCCACAAAACGATACTGATCCCCCGTGATAACATTCCTGACAAAACCTGTACAAATACATTGCTTTCAGTTCATACATACACACAGAAGACAAAAAATAAATAATTACTTTTACCTTCCAATACACAGAACTGAAAATTAACCATTTGTAATGAAATGTAATGAAATTTTATATGTAATGAAGGAATAATGTCATTGATTTCCTCATTATGTCATTGTCATAATCTTCTTTATAAAAATTTTCCTCTTCAGGTCAACAACTTTGCTATGTTACCTACTGCACATGTATCCTCTAAATTCATAGCTTCTTTAAATGGTTATTCATTTATATCATTTTGTAATTTTTTTATTTTGTGTTCCATTAGTCCAAGTCCATAAATAAAGGATAATTCAGAATCACGTGAAAATCGAACTCTAAAGTAAAAATTTCACCAGTAAAATTTACACATCCTCAAGTATAATATGCAAATTACAGGAAGCCATCAGATGATGGCGTAGTACATCACACTGAGGAGAGTGCAAGAGATGTAAAGAATGGTAGCAAAGAAATAAAATTGTTCAAAGCATTCTGCAAGCCACTCTGTGTCACAATCAAATAGTTATGACACAGAGGACACATGCGGATGATTTTTTACGCTGTAGAATTAACAGCCACCTGGAATGTGGGCATCCAAGAAACTTGGAATAGCCCCCAAAGTGTTATCTCTAGACTTTGGCAACGATTCCAAAATAATTGAAATATCAGTAGACATTACAGTACAGATGACCCCTGAGTTAAAAGTGCGAATGATGATCAGTATTTGACAGTAACTGCCAAAAGACGCAGACGGGGCACAGCATCAGACTTGTCTCGTCAGTTATCTTCAGTCACAGGCACAACAGTTTCAAGACAAACTATGTACAGGCATTTGAGACAGATTGGTCTATATGCCAGCAGGCCTGTCAGATGTGTTCCACTCATGGCAACTCACTGTCACCAGTATTTAGTCTGGTGTAGAGAACATGCAATGTGGATATCATCACAGTGGGCTTGTGTGATGTTTTCTGACAAGTCCATGTTTAGCTTGCAGTCTCATTCACGTCAGACTTTCATATGGAGAACTCAAGGTACCCGCTACCACCAAGACAACATCATTGAATGACACCGTTACAGTGGTGCAGGATTGCTCGTTTGGGGTTGAATTATACTGGGCTTCAGAACAGATCTACATATTCAGATCGGAGCCATGACAGGCCAAATTTATTGGGACATCATTCTGGAAAAATATGTACATTTGTTTAGGGGTGCCATGAACTCAGAATATGTGTTAATGGATGACAATGCCACTGTGCAAACATTGTAAAAGAATGCCTTCAATCTAAGGATATCACCTGTATGGAATGGACAGTTGTGAAGCACTGGCAGCCTCTATGAAGAACAAGGATGCCATCGCCATTGAAATGCAAGAAAAAAAAAAGATTATGATTATTGTACTGTAATTCAAAATGGATCATGTGCTGAATAGTTGAAGTATTAAGCAAAAATCTTTAGAACAGCTTTGTAAGTTACATGAACGATATAGTTGTAATGGATGACTCTGAATAAAACTGTTTAAAAACAATAGTTTATCTGATGTTTGATGCCAAATAATAATAGAAAAGAACCTTCAGTCATCAGTCACAACACCAGCACTCTTACCTGACTTGATTCTGATAAAGCATGTGGTGAACAGCTTGGACAACGAATTGCAGTCAATTGTCAAGCACCTCCTACGTATGTGCCCGAACTTCGGAGAGCATTGCTTTTTGAGTGGTGTAATATTCCCCAAGATCAGATCGATAATTCGATACTCAGCATGACTAGGCATTATATGGACTGTATTTCATCATCTGGGAGACATGCAATATATTAACCGTCATACCAACCATGTAATATTCAGTTTTTGTAAGGGAGATATTTTTTGTAATTGCTCCGGGAGCAAAAATCGTAGTTTTTATGAATGGCAACATACATACACCATCTTTGTTGTTCTTTATCTTTTGTCAAATAAATGGGATTTATGAGTAAGTCACATTTGTTTCATTTCTGAACTTCATTTTCCAGAGCTGGCATTATCCTTAATTTATGGGCATAAGTGTATAGATAACTATTTTAAGATATATTCTCTATTAAAAGCCATTACTTCATAACAATCGTTTTCATGAAAAGCCTCTTAAAAACACATAAGAAAATATAAATAACAATGGCTGCTTATTTTTTCCACAAAAATAACCTTTGTTCAGAATCAAAAGTAGCAACACATATTTCCAAACATTATTTCCACTCCTAATAATAAACTTAACATAAAAGGCATTAAAACAACACTCCATACATATATAGAGGGAGGCTTCCATGAGGTTTTCACATTGCATGGTGATGCCATTTTAAAAGAACTACAGATTCACCTAAATTTGTTTTGTAATACATGATCCAGGTTACTGAACTATTTATAATGTTATTCAGTGTAAACATATTAATATTTAATCAGATTAAGACACAATAACACGCAGACCAAATACTACTTCAGAAGTCAAACAACAAAAATCAGTGTTTTCAAATTTTCACAGGACTAGTTTCGATAGTTTTACCGAACCATCATCCTCAGCAGCAAAAGCGCAAATGAACGAGATAAGATAAAATAATTAGATAAGATAAGAAAGTCTGGACAGGAGATATGCTAGCAGCGCCATCTGTTGATGAAACCAAAACTAAAACATAATTTCTTTAAATGCCGAAGGCAAAGCTCGATCAGAATTAGGATCGTTAACTAGAGCAGAAAGATTTTTTGAATGTTAAATGCCCCCAGAAAATCAAGTTCTGCATTGGAAGATGTTTTTTGAATAATTTTGGCAGCAGAAAAATTGAAAGTGTGATTTTTGGACCAATAATGTTGGGCAACACAAGACTTCTGTGTTTCCTTTTTTCTAACATATGAATCATGTTCCTTGACGCGAAAATTTAAGGCTCTCTTAGTTTGGCCAATGTAAAATAAACCACACTGGCAAGGAATCCTATAAATACACCAGGAATTCATATCCGGAATGGGGTCCTTGAGTATGAAACTCGGAATTTTATTGATGGGAGAATAAACGAACCGAAAGTTAAATTTTTGCAAAATACGTGCAACTTTATAGCTAATTGATGGAAACAAGGGAATGATAACAGAATTTTTATAATCTCCTAATGCAAGAGTGTGCCTTTTAGTGTATTGAGGTGAGAATTTTTTAACTGCTTGATTAATAATGTTGGGTGAAAAGCCCCTGTCAATAGCTATTGCTTTTAAATAATTTAGTTCTTCATCAAGGGATAGTTTGGAGGAGCAAACTTGAAGAGCACGAAAAACATAGGAATAAAATGAAGCTGATGAAATGAACTTTAGTCGGATGACATGATTTAAAGTGTGGTAGAAGGCAAACCGATCAAGGTTTACGGTAAACCATAGTACTGAAGTTGGATGTGCTACGTGTGACCAGAATGTCGAGAAACGGAAGAGAATCGCAAGTTTCAAGTTCAAAAGTGAACTGAATAGCAGGATCAATAGAATTCATTGTTGAAAGAACTTTATTTAGATCATCTTTATTACCTTCAAACAGGGTAAAAGTATCATCTACGTAGCGGAGCCATACCGGGAAGTTTAAGTTTCAAACAATTTTGATTCATAATAATGCATGTAGATATCAGCCAGGATGGGACTGAGGGGGCTTCCCATGGCTAAGCACTCAGTTTGCTTGTTATATTTATTTTGGAAAACAAAATGTGTTTGTTTCAAACAGAGTTGAGTGAGAGAAATTTGCTCATCAATTTCAATGCAAGAGAAATGAAATTCACGAAGTAACCATGAGTAAATTTTTAGGAGAAATGTTTTTAACCTTTTTCACAAACTCTACTGAATTTTTTATGGTGTAAATGTTATTGTCTACTAGAGTTCAAAATCTAGAAACTAAATATTTAGGATACGAGATAGTACCTAAATTTGATACACAATAGGGTGGAAGGGAATACCACTTTTATGAGTTTGGGAAGAGCATCTAATCTGGCACAATTCGCAGCAGATGGAATAAGCGAATGTTTTAAGTTGCTTGAAATGATTTCTGAAGACCTTGATCGCAGTTTTTATTTTTGATAGGTCCGAAGGCGAAGGATTTTAGGGATCGGATTATATTGTCCTTCATTTAAGAGTTTAGTGACACCATCGATATAAGTGTTCTTATCCATGACGACTATCTGACCACCTTTCTCAGCCTTTGAAATGATAATATCTGGATTAGAATGAATCTTTGCCTTCGGCCTTTAAAGAAATTATGTTTTAGTTCTGGTTTCATCAACAGATGGCGCCACTAGCTTCTCTCCGGTCCAGACTTTCTTATCTTATCTAATCATTTTATCCTATCACGTTCATCTGCACTTTTGCAGCTGAGGATGATGGTTCAGTAAAACCATCGAAACTAGTCCTGTGAAAATGCTGACTTTTGTTGTTTGACTTCTGAATTAGTATTTGTTCGGCATGTTATTGTGTCTTAACTATAGATGCCCCAAACAAGCATTTTTTTTTTTTTTCTTTTCTTTTTTTTCTTTTTTCCATGTGGTTTTTGTCATCTCGCGTTTGTATGTGTTGAGTCGAAAACGGCTTTTTTTTTTTTTTGCTTCCTTTTTTTGCATGTGGTGCGGCCGCCATTTTGTGATTGCATGAATTTCGTCAGGTACTTTTTTGCAATTTTTAAGTTCTGTTTGTGTTTTGCGTATTTGGATATTGTGCTTTGTCTGATTTCCCGCATTTTGGTTGCAAACGCTTTGTTTTCTGTTCATTTCAGAGTGGGATTTTTCTGCTGTTTTGTGCGTGCTTTATTATTGATATATTTATTATTATAATTTAGTTTGATTTTCTGCACTATTTATCATGCCATCATCTGTTAATCGTTTCACTAAATTACGCCTAAAACGGCAAAAATTCCTGAATCATCTTGACTTTTTACTTAAGTGTAAATGTAAAAAATTGATCCCCAATTTCATTCAAATCAAATCTAATCAAAAACCTTCCAGTAGTGTTTTAAGAATTCTGTTAAACTGCAAGCTAGCCTTACTTCTGTCCATGATAAGGGATATACGTCAACGATTGTCCAAAATTGAACATGAGTTCTATAAGCTTCATCTGGAACTCGCTAATTCATATCCAAAATTCACTGGCCTTGAACAAAAGTCTTGGTCTAGAACAGAGAATGTAGTTACCCCTTGTAGTTAAATTCAAAAAACTTCTTTTACAGTCTTTCAGTTCAAGTAGTTCAAAAAATTCTCCCATTGTAAACATTAAGCCAATAGTTAATATTTCGAATGTTAGTTTATCAGAAGAACAAAAGAGAATTCTAAAATATAATTTTAACTTCTCACAAACCTGTAAACCCTCGATTCCAAAGATTTTGGCTCCTATCGAAAAAGCTTTCAAGTTCAGTAAAGTTTCAGATTCACAGAAAGAAATGATTAGGCACCTTATCGCTCATAATGTGAAATTCAATAAAAAACCTTTGAAACCAAATCTAACTGCGAGAGAAAGAGTTAAAATGCGCAAAATTCATTCTAACCCAGATACTATCATTTCAAACGCAGAGAAAGGTGGTCACATAGTCGTCAGGGATAAGAACTCTTACATCAATGGTGTTACTAAAATCTTAAATGAAGGACCATATAATCCAATCCCTAAAGATCCTTCACCTTCGGACCTATCAAAAATAAAAACTACGATCAAATCATCACAAATCATTTCAAGCAACTTAAAACATTCGCTTATCCCATCTGTGCCAGATTACGTTTGCTCTTCCCAAAACTCATAAAAGTGGTATTCCGTTCCACCCTATTGTATCAAATTTAGGTATTGCCTCATATGCATTAGCTAAATATTTAGTTTCTAGATTTTCAACTTTATTAGACAATAACATTTACACCATAAAAAATTCAATACAGTTTGTAAAAAAGGTTAAAAACATTTCTCCTAGAAATTTGCTCATAGTTTCTTTTGATGTAAAATCATTATTCACCAATGTTTGGGTAGAGGGTGCATTAAGATGTCTAGAAACCAGACTTCGCGAATTTCATTTCTCTTGCATTGATGATCTAATTTCTCTCAACTCTGTTTCAAACAAACACATTTTGTTTTCCAAAATAAATTACAAGCAAACTGAGGGATTAGCCATGGGAAGCCCCCTTAGTCTCATCCTGATTGATATCTACATGCATTATTATGAATCAAAATTGTTTGAAACTTTAAACTTCCCGGTATGGTTGCACTTCGTAGACGATACTTTTACCCTGTTTGAAGGTAATAAAGATGATCTAAATAAAGTTCTTTCAACAATGAATTCTATCGATCCTGCTATTCAGTTCACTTTTGAACTTGAGATTTGCAATTCTCTTCCGTTTCTTGACATTCTGGTCACACGTAGCACATCCAACTTCAGTACTACGGTTTACCGTAAACCTTCATGGGTTTGCCTTCCACCACACTTTAAATCATGTCATCCGACTAAACAAATGTCAGCTTCATGTTATTCCTATGTTTCCCGAAAAACTCCAGAAATTGAATATTATGATCCTAGAGACAAATAATATATGAATTTAAAAAAATCTACTCTTGCCCATTGTTCTGTGGGTGGTGGTCGCACTGTGAAACCACCGCACGTCTAGGACTTTGAAACTTACTGATGTAGCAGGAAAAAAATACTTACATTTTTCCACACGCGTTTCCAATAAATGACGAAATTTACGGATTTTAAAAAAATGTATGTAAGAATTACATTATATATAATTTTTTTACATTATTTTACAAAGTAAATTGTCAGAAAAAATTAAAAAATAAACACTTATGTAATTTTTCTATAGCAGTGAAAATATAAGTACCTACATAATAAGGACGTTTGGATAAATGAATTAAAAAACTCAATAAAATAAGGATATAAAAGAACTCAGTGTTTTTTTTTTTTTTTTTTTTTAATTTCAAAGAACAATTTTTTTGTGACACTGTTCAAAGCATGTTTTGTCTCTTTGGTACATGCATAGACCCACATTGCACGTTTGGCACATACATTTTGTTCTATGAGGTTTCTTCCTTATGCTACAAAATGTACACTGCCTGGATTTAAATTTCACTGGTATATGTCCAGCATTATTTAGTTTCTTTTCATCTGGAACATGAAATTTGTGGTTTTTTATGTTAACCGGGGGGTGCTTGGTCTTATAATATATAAAATAAGATTAATTGCACAAAATATAGGCTAAATTGAGTTCAGCAGAATTTAAAAACCTGAAGTAATAAGAAAGATCGTAATGATTCTTATAAATTTTTCTAATTAATTTTAATGAACTGTATCAAATGCACAAAGCATTTGATAAGTATGGCTAAACATTTAACAATTTCAAAAGTATTTTTCCTGTCTAATTTATATGCTTAAATTCTATCCCACACGCTGATTTTTTTTACATTTTCGTCAAATATGTTTAAATGACAATACTTACAAAATGAAGTCTATACTTTATGGATAATCAAATTTACACCAATACATACCTTTGCAATCATCTTTATCAACTAAATATCGTAAACTGCTCATCAGGACATCACCATACCCAACAACATATTTCAATAAGAACTGACTAAACTGATTACCAAAACACTGATCTTTCAAAGGATCTGAAAGAGTATTTTAAAACATTAATCTATATAAAATAGAACATACACAATAAATATTAATTCCAATAATTATTTCATTTTATTTATAATGAAAAACTTGTTCAGTTTTATAAAATACAATTTCCTGTTTGACTACACATGTAAATACTTACTTTTATAACAACTAATAAATTTTAATTGCAAACTTAACCAACTCTCTCAATTTCTGAAAAATGTTTTTCTTTGCAATGCCTTTTAAAACTAATTCTCACAGTTTGATTAAAAAGTTGCAACAAGGATATATGGCTCAGTCATTTGGGGGAAAAAAATGTCAATTTAATGTCAACAGGCAAGTCACACGTAAAGTGAGTTAGAATGTTGCAAAGGACAAAAATATCATTTAACCTTTTGCAAATGCAGCAAATTGACAAAAGGAGACATTTACCATATGTCTCCATGCAGAGCATTTGTATTTAATAACAATTATTATTTTTCATTCATTGCATTTGATTTACAGTATTTTTTCCCTTCCAGATTTTTGGAATATTTCACCTTCTTTACTTTTTTTATTATTATTATTATCGGATCCTTTTTTGTTCTTTCATTCTTAAAGAGAAGTAATAGCATACCTTTAATAAGAAGTATAATAATATTAAAAAAAGCCGCTATATTTTAGCAAAAGCTTCCTCTTCTTTCTGAAGAGCTGTCATTTTATTATTAGTTCAAATGGGCAATTTACCCTGAAGGACTATTAATTTCGTTTTGGCATTTTGTGTTGAAAACTTTAAAAGGCTGTATCACTTTTCAAATCGTTGCCACCATATATTATCGCCTTGTCTTATATTTAAAGAAATTAAATAATGAAGAATCTGTATAAATGTATGTATGTTTTTCGCATTATGATAAAACAACGGTACCTAGAGCCATCCAAATTTGAATAATATATTCTTCCATAGAATATGGGCATGTGGAAGCCTTATTTGAATTTGAAATTTGTTTTATTATTGATTTCAGATTTTATAATACTTCAACAATTTTTGATTAAAAAAACTAAATGATTTCAAAGCGAGCAAACAGCAAGCACTGTTAAAAAAAAAAATCTTTGTTAAAAAACAAGTTTCATGGAAAGTGGAAATTTCATTAACAAGGGGGGGGGCTGGATTCATAAAATGTCCCAATTTGGGCAGTAAGGCAAGACTAAAAAGAGGAAGTCTAACATATATGTATAATTACACTGTTTTATTAAAATCTAACATGACATGCTTCACAATTCTTATTTCACTTAAAATAACTATTAGAAGATCACTACATAGCTCAGAAAATCAATTTGATCATGTTGCAATAATAAAACTATTTTCATTCTAGAAATCATCAAAACTTGTTTTAAATGATTTAATACCTATAGTTCAAATGTATAAATTCATAATTAATATTTCCCTCTGTTAAAAAAAATGTGTACATAAATTTTTACTTGACACAAAATTCTAAAAGTCATTCTTACATAAAATTTGATTTTAAAAAAAAATTCAATACAAAGAAGGAAGAAAAGTAAAACAAAAGTGCTTTTTGAAAGAATTTACAGTGTTACATTTGAAGGCAATTATCAGATCATTCTTATTTATGGAATTACTGAATATCATAAATAAAATGAATGAATTTACTGAATATCATAAATGAAATACAATTTGAAAAAAAAAAAAAAAAAAAAAAAAAAAAAAAAAAGAGAGAGAGAGAAAGTAATGATTTTCAAAAATCAACTAATATAAACTTAATATAGTAAGTATAAAAAACTGAAATTTATACTTACCAAGGGTAACAGTATGTATTTTAACACTGGTATTTTGCCGTGCAGCTGGTGATAACCTCAAAAATCCATATTCTAAAGAATATTCAATGACATATTCTTCTTGAGTCCAGACTGCAAATGAATACGAAAAAAATATAACAAATTACTGAAACATATACATATAATATAAAAATGAATACAACAAATCTCTATGTATAGAATTTCAATTTCATTTTACTAACTGTTAATATAATTAGTATTATGGTATATTTAAATTCATGCAGCTGTAAAAGAATTCCAGAAGCAAATACGAAAAGGTCCAATGTCTCCATGTGCCCTATGTAAGATGATAAAGAAATTTGAAATAACTGGGAAACTTGGCTTTCTTCCAGGTAGAGGACAAAAGCAAATCCAGTCTTCTACTTTAAAAAATGTGGCTATCATAGTCACTGAAGCCAGGAATCAGTCGTCACATGGTAGTGTGATTGTGCCAGTTGTTTCCAGTGTATTGGATATACCGTATTCCACTGTACAAAAAAACTTACTGAGGATCTGAATTTTTATTTCTACAAAATCAAGCCTGTGCAACTATTGCAGAATGAGGACTCATAAATTCATAAAACTTTGCACCTCCATTCCTTGCTCTAATGGTGGTTGACTCATTTGGCCATGAAGCATTCCGTGGACTGATGGAGCTCACTTTTGCCTCAATGGGTAAGTTAACACCCATAACTGTTTAATTTCAATTTAGCAGAAAACCCTCACACTCTCTAGAAACAACCCTTCTAGCCTTTGTTGTTTTATGGCTACCTTTACCCACTGGACCACACTTTTGAAGAGATAACTGCAAATGAAATCCAAACCTATTCCATAACAGGACAACGGTATCATGATATGCTGAGGGATTTTGTAATCTCATAATTTCAACAATGTAGATGCATTCAGGACATCATTTTTATGCATGGTGATGCACCTCCTCACATTGATCATTGTGTAAAGCAATAGCTACGATAACATTTCACAAATGCATGATCAGCCAGCATTTTCCAACAGCATAGCCTTCTTGTTTGCCAGATACAGTCAAAAGTCGTTAATTCGGACACCCATAATCCGAACCTCAAAGCTAAAAACTTTCTGCGCAGCGCCGCGTTGACACATGCGCATAGGCGTTTACGCGTGCGCGTAAGACCTTTTACGTCTGCGCATATGCGTGTGCGCAAGTGCAGAATACGTTTTCGTGTGCGTGTTTTATGTATAACGGACGGAATAAGCTAAAATTATCTAATTATCTATTTCATTAATGTTGATGATTGTGTTGTTCTTAATTTTCGAATTGGATCTGGCTAATTATTTTTTGCAGACTGTAAGAGCAATACTATAAAAGTAAACTTGAACTTTCGATTATAACAAAATAGAATTTTCGATGCTGGAGCTCCCAAACGATCTATAAAACGAAAGTATATTTCGATGTCCATCAAACAAAAAGTGGAATTGCTGCAAAAAATGGATAAAGACATGAAGAAGGTGACAGAGAGGTTAGTGAAAACGAAAAAATTTCGATTAACAAGTTAGTCGTTATTCTTGGCACAGCAATTACGGGACTTGAACAGCGGAACTTCGCAACTGAACAAGAAATTATGTCTGTTTATAGAATTAAAGAAAATGTATTATCACATAAAACGAAGCAAATTAAACAACTTACATTGAAAGAAATGTTTAATAAAGTAAACAAATAAATATTAAGCTTTTTTTTTTGTAAATTTTGATACCCTTTAGATCATAATTGTTCTTTATTTCATAAATTACGGTTTCATATTTTTAATTTTATAATTTCTGCATGCCATCTTACGAGATTTAAACTGATGATCTATAATCCGGAAAAATCGATAATCCGGAATCGCCGAAGTCCCGACGAGTCCGGATTAACGACTTTTGGTTGTGGGGTTTCCTAACAGAAGATATCTACATTCCAAGGCCAGCAGTGTGCCAGATCTGAAGGGCAGCATTCGACGGCATGTTCTTGATTTTCCAGCAGACTCACTCTGGTCAGCTGTGGAAAATATTGTTCTGTGATTACAGCACACTGTTGAACACAAACGGGAACATATTGAGCAGTTACAGTGCTACTTTTTTATACGAGGCACGTCCAGAAAGTAAGTTCCGTTTCAATTTATCTCCGCTGCAGCTCTGCGATCGCAGTTCCACACATGCGCAGTAGAAGCTCTGTATCAAGGAGAAGAAACGCGCACCATTTGGAGATCACCATCAGTCACATACGTTTTGTTGTGCTTGTTTACAATGTCGGTGTTGATTGAAAATCCCGCCGCTTGTGAAATCAGATCTGTGATTCGTTTTCTGAATGCGAGAAAAGTGAAGCCTAGTGAAATTTATCAGGAAATTTGTAATGTTTACGGACCAAAAGCGATGAGTGATTCAATGGTGAGAAGATGTGTCCGAAAGTTCAATGACGGACATAGTGATGTGCACGACGAAGAACGAAGTGGGCGTCCATCTTTGGTTACAGAAGAACTGGTTCACGCGATTGATGACAAGATCCATGAAAACCGAAGGTTTACAATTAGTGCTCTCACTATGGAATTTCCCCAAATTTCACGATCACTAATGCATGAAATTGTTACCCCGAAAAACTTAAATTTCGTAAACTTTGCTCACGTTGGGTAACAAAGATTCTTACTGAGCAACACAAAACAAAACGGATGGGTAGTGCACTTCAGTTTTTGACCCGTTATGCTGAAAGCGGCGAAGAATTTCTGACACAGATAGTCACAGGAGATGAAACTTGGGTTTCTTACGACACCCCTGAAAGTAAGCGGCAATCAATGGAATGGAGGCACACTTTATCCCCAGCAAAGGTTAAGCCAAGCAAATCTTGACACCCCAAAAAATGATGTGCACAGTGCTCTGTCTGGGACTGGAAAGGCATCTTACTCATTGATTTCTTACCGCGTGGTCAAACAATCAGAGCAGATGCTATTGCGAGACACTTCGGAAATTGCGCGCGCAATACAGAATAAGCGCCGAGGATTGCTGTCAAAGGTGTTTGTTTTTCTCACGACAACGCACGACCACCCACACTGCAATGTGACGAAAACCTCCTACAGGGATTTGGCTGGGATGTGTTTTGACCATCCTCCGTACAGCCCTGACCTCGCTCCTAGCGACTTTCATCTGTTCTTACATCTTAAGTCTTTCCTTGGCGGTCAACATTTGAACAATGACGACGAGCTGAAAGAAACTGTTTCCAACTGGTTGAAGACACAGGCGGCAAATTTCTATGAAGAAGGTATACAAAAAACTTGTGCCACGCTATGACAAAGCCTGCAATATTTCGGCAGTTATGTGAAAAAGTGTTAAGAGTTTGTTGAATTTTGTGCAATAAATAACTTTTCTGTAGCTGTACACAATTTACTTTTATTACCAAATGGAACTTACTTTCTGGACGTACATTGTATTATTTTTATTCATGAAGTATATCAAATGTTTTATGCATATTAAACCACCATCTTATTGGTGGATTTCTGTACTAAAAATTTTCTTATATCACTAATATCAAGCACATCATTTGAATTATCTGTAGTCCAAATTTTATCTCATTTGGGCTAACAGATTGCATTCTAGAGACCTTGAAGTAGGGAACTTATGTGTTGCTAACCCTGTATATGACAGACAAGCTTTTTAATTTTTATAATATCATGCACCAATTTTTGTTCTATATAGTGCATCTTATACTATTAATTTACCTTTATTTATTTAATTTTTAGATCAAATAAGTAAAATACAGAGCATTTTAATCTCAAAATGTAGTCACTAAAATAAGTAAACAAACAGAAAAACATAATGAGCATAAATCCTTTCTTTACATCAGAACTTAATATGATATAAGTGGATGCTATCCAAATATGCAAGCACAAGCTATTATTTAAACAAATTTAATAATACATTTCATATACTAAAACTTAATTCAGTTTTTCACAATTAAGCTTTTAAAGACTTTTTATTTTTATTTTTTTTATTTTATTTATTTATTTTTTTAAATAAAGTTGAACATGCTTCAAAATGTTAAAAAAAAAACTTTTATAATGGAATATAATTTTTACTCAAAGTATAACAAAGTAAACTCCTGATTAACCTAAAAAGAATTAATCAGATTTAACTGGGCATTGCCTTAAAAAATTATGTTTGCTTATTATGAAATGACAGTAATATTACTATTAAAAACCATCAAAATAAAGTAAGGAAAAATAAAAGCAAGGACAAAATGTGTGGAATAATGGATGATGCCACAGTTATCTGTATTCAGAAATCGCTTTTATTCAGAAAAGTTTATAATTTAACTTTATACGATCTACATTATAGAAACATTGTTAAACTACATGTCAAAAAATTGCTGAATTTTAAAAATTTATTGTGTTATTTATTGTATTTTTTTATTTATTACCTTTCCTTTAATCTAACATTTCCCACTGACTGCTCTGAAAATACAAAAGTAATAGAAACAAAAATGACCTTTTTTCTGTCTGAAATGCATTTTTGTTTTGAATGGTGATTTAATTTACATAATCAAATTAATTTATTCTCTAAATTAAATTGCTTAAAACATATAAAAATTGTTAATAATATTTTTAACATGGATTATGTAACTGATGTAAGATTAAATTTGATTTGGGGAAAGAATAACTGCACACATTGTTACAGGCGTTTACAGTTAACCCAAAATCAAATTTAACATTTTTTGTTTACTGTGCATTAATCTTAAAGTCTACTGTATAATAATATTTCAATTCACAGCATAACTGTAAAAAGCCATTTCATGCCATAATTATTTCAAACTCAAACTGCCTGCAAGCAGTGGCATAACTAGAACTCTAGAGCCCCCATGCAAAAAAAAAAATTCTCGGCCCCCTAATAAATTTACAGTACTAACCCCCCCCCCCCAAAAAAAAAACAAGGTTTTCAGGAGCCAACATTTTGATAATGATTTTTATAAGATTAGGATTAATAGTTAAAAATCTGATATGGACACACATCACTTCCTTGTATCACCTATTAAATTATACACACTTTTTGGTGCATTTCATTTAAAGTTATTTCCTCGAATAATTTAACTTAAT